CCCCGGTTCCCGCTCCCCATTTCCCATTCCCGGCGCGGCCGGAGCGCGGATTCAAAAAAATAAAAAATGCACTCTGCTCTGTAACGAAATAACAAACACTGAGTTGCAGGTTTCTTGCACAGTCCGTGTTCAACTTCACATCCTAGACAGCTCCTGTGTAAAAATTCTGTTGGAAAGTACTTTGATCAGTCTTAAGAGTGTTTGGATCAGTTGAAGGTTTTTTGGTTTGACTGCTGCATGAATGACCCCATTGAACTTTCTTGTGCACAGTCTTGTGGCAAATAGAAAAACAGATGGCAAAGTCTTCTGAACAGCATAAATTGCCATTTTCTTTATTTTTGCAGGTACCTTCCTCTACTCAGGGTAAGGAAGTCTCTTACATAAGTTGCCTCTCGTCCACTGCATTCATTCAGAAATAATGAACACCAAAACCACAGTTCAATCGATGGCAGAAAACATTTACAAACATATTTCTTTCTGTAATAGGTCATTACCGGAGTTATTCATGATGCCATACATATGTATCAAAACGGGTAGGAAGTACCTCAAATCTGCCCCAGTGCAGTGCATACAATTTGCTTCAGCGAGTTGGTGATGTGTGGAGACCAACATTAGCTTTAATTGACTTGTTGCTGTGGTAGAACAGGTCTGTGGTGCCTGCCCTGCCTCTCAGGGCATGGTTGCACTGGCGACTGCAGGGAAGGGGAGAGTGCCAGGAATATCACTCTTGCTGATCACCCCCGGGTGGAACAGCAGCTTTTCATGCCAGTCACCTGGAGGGCCCGATAGGAATTTTTAAAATTATTGTTATTTCTGTGAAAAAGCAGACTGCATGCAAAGCCTGCAGGGTGTGACTCAGCTGCTGAGGATGTGGTCTCTGGAAGTAAATTGGTAGAAATTCATGTTGATGTTCCAGGATTAGAGGTATTTTGTTCCAAAAATAATGTCAGATGTTACCATTTACCAAAAAAAAAAAAAAAAAAAAAAAGGAGGGGGAAAAAAAATGTAAAATGCAAGGGTTTTGGAGAATTCACACCGGTAAGGGTGGCCTTCTGAGCCCTTAGACAGCCACAAAGGCAGGACTATGTGAGTTGGCTGCTTCTGGCTTTAGTTTCTGGAATTACCTTCTAGGTATTCCTCCATGTAAAATTGACCTTCGTAACTCCAGGCTCCTCTCCTCCCCCCTCCCAGCAGCTAAACTACCATTTAGACCTAGTGGGATCTTTGTGCCAGCCAGAAAAAGGAACGCAGATTCGGAAGGTGCCTGTAAGAACTACCTCATCTCCTGTAAGCTGATAGCATGCAATACCTTGGCAGGATAATTCTAATACAGGGCTCTATTTCCATAACATACTTTTTTCTTTTAATCAATATAATCAAAATAAGTTCACATCAAAATACTAAGAAGGCAACCTTTGAGGCTGATTTTTTTTTCTTGTTTTAGCCAAATCAATTCTTGTGCTAAAACTGTCCTCCACCAGAAGAACACATTATGGGAATAACAAGCTTCACAAAGGGATATAAATTGTCCCTTTTAATAATGGCCATTTATCAGTATTAATGCCAACTTCTAAAAGCCTATCCACACTAAATTTATTCCTACACTGGACGCTTGTAAGAGCTGGTCCATTCTAAAACAACACTCTCTTTTTCTGATGTATACTAAGTATATTAGGATAACCTGAAATGACATTTTCTTTCAGATGAACGTCAAAGGCAGCTATGCTACAACTTTTCTCTGTAAATTCATATGCTATTTTATTTACTTACTTTACGTACATTTTACTTATTTAGAACCATTTCTATATAATGACACGCCTTTAATGACACTTATCACTCAGAAATGCTTCCAGCTATACTCAAACAATGTCTGTTAACAGGAGTCACTGAAGTTAAATATGCATCATTAAAAGTAAGCCAAAACAAAAGGCAAAGGCAAATATATATATGTATATATATATCTCCAGCCGAATGAGAGGGATCATCAGCATTTGATGAGTCTTCCCTGTGAGTTAGATCTGCAAGTTTACTTTGAGGTAGTGCTAGAAAGAAGCTGTTGGTCCAAGAGCATCCTGCAAAAAAAACAGTCAATACTTAAGTAACTTTTTAATATTTGTTCACCTGTTTCTTTTTTTTCCCTGCACACAATTGTGGGATCAGTAGCCTCTTGTACCATTGTACTGAAGCTACTCTTTTCACAGGAGGGATAGAAAATGTTTAAACTACTGTACCAGGAGGGGGAGGGAAAAAAAAAAAAAAGACCCCAGCAAATCTTGAGTAAAAGCACTATCTATTCCAACCCCTCAGAGAGAGAGGGAGAAAAAAAATAACACGCTATTACTAGATACTCTTACCAAAAAAAAACCCTTCATTAAGCTTGGAAAAAATCTTTCACTTGGATAAAATAGAGATAAAACACCACCAGAAGTGAGATTTGGTGGTGTTGAAAAGGTTGCATTTAAGTATGGTTATTTTTTTAGGAAGGCTCCCATGCTCCCACTGTAATTGCATCTTTGTGGAACTGATGGCAGACACCCCCATGATGCATTCAGGTCCTTATGTAAGCCAGCTAACATGTTGGTAGTTGTAGAACTTGGTAGGAAGTCTCAGCAATGCATTCCTATAGTTGTAATGAAAACAACCTTTCCTATATTTGGGGTTTACAGGTAAATCCAACTTGGGAAGATATTTTGCTTCTACTGTCAAAAACCTACAGTATAAACACTGTATCTCTCCCTAAACACTGTAACATTCTAAAGCTCCGGTATGTATTCCTTACTGCAAAAGAGAATCAGCTAATAAGCTTAAGGACAGACAATAAATAAATAAATAAAACGAGGGGGATTAGAGAACCATTTTGGAACAGCATCACATAGCCGCAACCTACATACACTCATACACTCTTCCACATTTTTTTTTTCTTTTTTCAGTTGACTGCTGAACAACATATGAGCAGCCCAGTGTCTTTCAGTGAATTTGCAAATTTAATATTTCCATTATTTAAGCAGTTTTTATTTCTAGAAGAGAAGGTGCATGCAGGTGTGAAGATAGGGAGAACTGGACAAACGGTAGCTAGGGGCTGTGACTGTACTGCAGTTCCTATAGCATGGTGTTTTGCTGCCACACTAAGTGAAGCCACATAGCCACTTGGGCCTATGTTACACAGTTTATGCATTATGGATTGAACTCTCAAAACTGCCAGTATTTGGCACATGTACTCCCGAACAGCCAGTCTAAGGTTCTTACAGGCCAACATTCTTATTTTCATAATTTTTGAGGGACAACACAAGAGACTTCCCTAGACTTTTTGCTGCAATGCAAGTGCAGTGTTAAATAGTGTTATATGGGGCACCTGATGCAGCCTAAGTGGGGCATGGAGCTGAATGCTGCCTTCCATGCTTCCTACATACCCTTGCTACTCATGGTGACAGTACCTACTAGCTTCAAAAGCCAGGGTGTAGCTGACTGCCTTTACTGCCAAGCTCAGGTACCACAGATACACATTAAAGGTGGCTTTTCCCCCTTTTCAAAGCTTTCATGCTCCATTCAAATTTAAGGAGCCTACATTAAGCAGCTCAGCAGTTTCCCCATGCTTCAGTTTCCTTAAAAAAAATCCTGGATGCAGACAATCCCTTTCCCAGCCACTGCCATTGTTTGCTCCATGCATTTTACTTCCACATTCCATCCAATTCTCATATGTACGCCCCCATCACCCTCCAAAGATTCAGCAGTTTGCCCAAGGTAACTGCCAAATCCCTCTTCCCAGCTATCAGGAACTAGCTCTTCCCAAATCCAGGGGTCATGAAATTCTTTGCCTTCTGGCTGTTCCTACATGTAACTCTACAAAAGCAAGGCAGAAGAGAGAGCCCTAGGGTACTCCAAGACTTGTCTTCTCAAATTTCTGTAACCAACAGGAATATTTTCATATTAAAAAATTTGCTAACAGATGTTAGAATAATGAAGCAAAGGTAGGAATTTCTGGTCAGTATTACCAAAATGATTCAACAGAGAATATGTTACATTTAAAAAATAGTATTCTTATAGGGCCAGGAAAATGGATTCCTGTTTTAAGACTGCCTCCAAAACACATGGCAGTAGCCATCTGACAAGTGTCCTGACTGGTTTTAGTTGTTTCCACAGCTACTACTTATGCTGCATTGTGCTTCCAGCCTAATTTATTACTATATAGTGTTTCAATAGTGAATACTTTTGCCTGAGCCTTGTTAAGTAGTCTGTGACCACAAAAATATTTCAGGGCCTTCAAAATAAGGGCAGCTCCAGAGTAAGGAAGCCTAGGGAGAGGTAGATGGCTATTAAAGCAGCAGTTGCTCATCATCTCCCCTTCTCCTTTAACAGGAAAGGCAGGCACCTTACTTAAAAGGGTTTTTTTTGTTGTGTGTGTTTTGTTTTTGTTTCTTCCGTTGGTTTTAGGATGAGGTTATTTAAAAAAACAAAACCAAACAATAACCACCACCCATCTGATGCTGGCACACAGAATCTGAGCAGCACCAGGATTGACCCTGTTGTAGAGATTAGGACAGGGCACAAAGCTTTTAAAGTCTGGTGGTGGTGATTTCATCCATGAATTTTTAGGTTTAAGAATGTTAGTTTGTGGTTGTAAAGTGCCAGCTAAAAAGCCTAAAGAAGGGACAGGAGAAGACCTTATGGAGAAACTGTATACTAGGGCTTAGATGGTCATCTGAGAACATCTTTACTTCACAGAACCTTTGCAGATGTGACATGCTAAAGTATAGGTACCTGTTTACATTAAAAGGTGGCTGCAGAGCAATGGGCTTAAGTGGCCCCAGAGCAAGCCCCAGAAATGTCTCTAGGTGTACTTTATCTAATCAAATGATTATTTCTTTTTATAAGCACTTAACAGAACCTAGGAAACAGAAAATCAGGTTGTCATTACCTATGCCCATCCCAAATCAATGGCTAATGAAATACCCCATTAGATTCTGTAAGCCAGAAGAGAATGTGCTGCACACATGTAAGAGTAAGATCCCCTACTGGCAGGTTTGCAGAAACAAAATTTTATTTACAGAGGCAAGTCTATCTTTAGACCCCCTTTAACTCTTTACATTTCTAGAATATTTACATGATTTCAAGATGCTCCAAGAGTAGAGTGATGAACAAAAAATTACAGAATCTGTCAAAAGCATAGCAAAAAAACCCAACTTATCATTGTGCTTTAAAACTTATGATCTAGAGTAATGTAGAAGAAATGTAGTTTTAGCACCTTGGTCATAACGGTCATGCTATATAAGACACTTAAATAGCAAAGGGGATGTCAGAAGTGACCGTATCCAGAGGTTGCCAGTGACAATTCATGAGCGAATCATAGAATTCTTCACTTGTCTCCATAAATTGTCTGTTCATTTCATCAATATCCAGGTGAAGTTGGGGATCTGAAAACAAAAGCCTGGTAAGTACAGGTATCCAGTCTGAGAGGCACATGAGAAATGGAACTAAATGACAAATAAAACATGTTTTGTAGTTAGTACTTATTAAATGAATTCTATAAAACTGTGTATTCCTCCAAAATTATGGCAAAACTTTGCACAATTCCAGCATCTTTAGAATTTCTTGTATTAGAATGCTAAGACTACATTAGTACTTAAACATAAGGATTATTTTCCATCCATGAAGGTTTTCCCCACATCTGTTAAGTCATTTCTACTAGTCAGAGTAGGAAGTGCTGTTCCAGAAGCTTCCCAGCCAAATAATTAGTTTGGTACAAATTTAGTATAAGCTGGATATTCATTTTAGCACATGCAAGGCATGCTTTTATCTCAGGGTTTGGAAATAAGACTTTTGTCTACTAATGAATATTTAATACAGAGTCTGTTTAGCAGAATCAATACAGAGATGACAAATTCTGTATCAGATCATTTTGGAAGCAAAGTGATGGTAGCATTAAGTGCTACTGTGTTACTGACAACATCATTATACTTGGCAATGCCAAGTCACTTAGCTACACCTCACAAAAGACCTCAGGGCATGAGTTACCTTCTTGGATTTCCAGGACATACCTCAAACAGAAGTTGGCTCAGACTGTTAAAAATACATAAATAATGACTAGTATTGAATTTGTTAGCCATATTACCTTCAATTATTAGCTCATCACTGATTTCAACCATAGCTGAAGTATCCTGAAACAAACAAGAAAGCGATCATCAAAAGTTTAATCGTATTGGAATTTATCATATCAGAACACACCAAAGCTTCCAACTAATTTTGTACTTATGCTCACACAACCACTGTCACCTCCTAATCCAAAACTGTTCCCTCTTCGTAAGTTACAGGTGTACTTCTTCACAAGAGAAACTCACAAGTATAGTTCAAACTGGAAAGGACCTCCAGAGGTCCTTAGATCACCCAACTGAGTCAACCATCTTACACTAGCTCTTTAATTTGCTGGAAGCAAAGCACATCAGAGACAACAGGAACAACACAATTCTGCATGTCAAAACCATTATTTGGTACATGTAAGTAGCATGTAGCAGTGTATAACTAACTACAGGTGTACTGCTTAAGCACTTAGTCACAAATAATCTCAGAAAGAAGCCAGCTCTTCTACCCCTACTTCACACCAAGAGGAAAAAAAAGGCAAAATTTCAATTCTAGGACTTTGTACTCCAATTTACACGATTCATATATCTGTGGAATCTATTATTTAAAACAAGTTTGTAGTATCTTTACCTCAAAAACAGCTGGAGCCATAACAGCATCTCCTAAAGAGCAGTCTCCAACAGCCTGCATGTTATCATAAGCAGCATAGGAGCTATAGTTGTAGTCAGCATAAGGATCATAATTCCACTGCGAGTAGTAGTTCTGATAATCTTGATAATAATCGTTATAGTTATATGACGGGTACCGCTGGAATTCTGCTTTCAGCCTGAAACATTAAAAGTTATATATATTTAGAGTTTGAGAACAACAAGCTTTAGTGAAATAAAACAGTTTGCCACTTTATACACTTCAGGCTTTAAAAGAAAACATTTCTTAAAAACAGCTGCCTAGCTGACAGCAAGAAATGCCTCATTTAGAGAGAAGTTATTAAACTCTCACCTTAGCCAAGACCAGAAGTCATTTTCCTGGATTAACTCTAGATGCATGGCACATCTCTATTCAGAGTATTTTTATTACCAGGATAAGCAAGCTGCTAAGTCTTAAAGCTCTGCTAAGAACTAGTTGATTAAAACCAGACAGCATTTACCAAGCACAGCTGCTTTAAAAGTACATTCATTCATAATTAGCCCTTCTATCTTTTGCTTGCTTAATTACTAAATCTTATTTCCAAAAACAAATGAGCCAAATTAGATTATCTGATTCAGAGGAGCATCTGACACTACCTGCCAGTGTGCCATGTCTGCCTCCACACCTTCTGTTTTATTCTCCAAAGCATGTTTCAGTAATTGCCAGTTTCAATTAAAAAAAAATCAGTCTTTTTAAAATAATATTCCCTGCCATTATCCAGTGGGAAGCTAAATCAATGGAATTGTTACCAAATACATTGGTTCTTGGTTCTTGAGAACAAAGAATCAGTTCATTTGTTTTTACCACTCGTATCCTCAAAAGACTGAGGCAGCTTCAGACTGACAGCAATCAAGGCACAAACATTATCTGCACTAGAAGTCAAGCACACTGAATAAAGTCAGTTCAGATAACTCAGCTGCACATTCCATAAAATCCTGCTTAGACATTTTTCCACTGATTCAGTAGAAGCAGACCTCCTGTGTTTCCAGTGCCCAGTTTCTCTGCATCCCCAACAGAAGAGACAGGCTTAGACCTGTCTTTTGTCAAGGACACAGGCTAAAAGAATTCACACAATTTTTCAAATTAAGTGAACATTTGTGAAATTCAAATTAAGTGGGATATTGTGATGCCAGGAGAGCACAGGACTCAGCCATTCAGAAATAGTAAAAACTACATTATTAATTTGTATCTATAACATTAAACTTATATCATTATTAGACTACAAAGACAGCTTTACAGGAAAGAGGCGTTTTGTTATTTTACTACTGTAATAAACAGCTAAATAACATAGCCTCTCAATCTTCTGCTTCTAACTTCTCCCCATACATCCATTTCTGTAAGAAAGAAAAGTCTTAAACACTGCAGCATTGCTCTGAGTAGCAGAAGTGGAGAAACTTGCTTCTTCATGACCTATTGCTTTCAATCTCTTAGTCAGACCACTTCTGGACAGTGCCCTCTTTGATAAGAGCATTTCCATTCTTAAGGACAGAGGCAACATTTGCAGTATTATACAGGGTAAGGACAGAAAGAGTTTATTTCTATTGTTTAAACAAAACATACATACAATCTAATCTCTTAAGACTTCAAACTTCACATGAACAATTTCCACTTTGTCTGCATCCTGGATCAGAGTTTATCAAATTTGGTCTCAATTCTGTAAGTAGTCAGATTGCCTCAAATGACTGACTGAAAGAACTGAGAAGGCGAAATAAGAAGCCTCTCAAATGACAGAAATGTGAATTTCAAGTCCCACTGGCCCAGCTTTGGAAAGCAAAGAATGTTACCAGAACAGTTTGTGTGGAGTACAGCCTCCTTTGCCACCTGCTTCCCCTAAATACATAATTTTTCTAGTTAGAGTTCCTTCCTTCCCTAGCCTGCTGGGAAACTAGTGATGTGCTACTATTTAGAATAATAAAAAAAAGTCTCAAGCATACAAAACCCTGCATTAACTTGTCACCCTTTTGCTTTCTTTATGCCTAAACCCTGAGAATATTTATGAATGCATTCATCTTTGCTACTATAAGAAACAAGACTGGTCACAGCAACAACTAGGCCTATGTTCCAGAATCTGGAATCTACCTCTCCCCCAACAATCCTGAGAGGGGTAGATGAATCCAGGGACTCAAAACATTATATGGAACATAAAAAATAAATTAAAAAAGCAGTAGACTGCATCACATGTACAGTCATTACAGCAAGTGAAACAGATTTTACGAAGGCAGAGCTACAAGAATCTGATTTAGAACTACTGTATCAATGCACAGCTGGTTTGTTACCTTTTAGAAATTCCTATGCTCAGCCGAATTCGTTTTCCCCCCAGACCTGGCGCATTCTGGCAGTCTTGCAGTGCCCTCATCTGATCACCTTGTTCACCAAATCTGACATAGGCATACCCTCTACAATTTTCAAAAGGGAGAAAACAAAAATTCTAGTATGCGTAACAGATACAAAACCAATTTGTCTTCTACAAAAAAGTTACGATAGCTTCTACTAGAGCTTCTGTTACAGAACTCAGCCTCTCCAGCATGTGCACATGCACAGTTTTCACCAAATCAAAAACTTGGGCCAGAAGCAAACAGCTTGTTCTTTGGTAACATTAAGATGTAACCAGCTGAGAGCCAGCACAAACAATATATGCTTTTGCACTGTGTAATTGATCAGATTCTACACTTCTGCATATACAGCAATTAGCCAGCTATCACTATATTTTTACTAACATTTTTACTTCAAAGGGGCTTTCTCTTAAGTTTGAGTGTACCTATTGCAGCCAGCACTGTCAGAAAAAAAAAGCAAACTCTCTCATTCCTGCCTGATTCACTGCACAGCCAGTTTAGTTTCTGCTAGTATGAGTAGAAAATAAAGCCTACCAGGTTCAGCCTTCCAACCCCATCTACAATTTGCCAGGCCATTCTTTTCTTCCAAGTGAAAGATGGGTATTTTTGTCTTGGGTATTGCAGACGAGTAAGCAGATACTGCTGTATGTGAGCAGAGCAGCACTGACTTCAATGCATGGCTCTACCCCCTCCCACCACTTCCTATTTCCTTGCATGCAGGCATGCAGATGTTTAAGTTGAAGTTTATCTTACAACTTCCTAACCCTAACTCCAAAGTTCCTGGAACACGAGCATCTTTGTTGTTAAAAAGAAAGTACTGCTAAAGACTAATCTCTGCTCTGCTTTCTCCCTGCCTCAGGGTGCAGGGAAGGGGAAAGGAAGGCAGAAAAGTTCAGATGCAAGTGTTTATACATTACTCAGAAGCAGACATACTGATGGCACTTCAAAATTGTGTGGAAGTTACCTGGAATATCCCAGTAGATCCGTCGCTATCTTGCAGTCAAGACACGAAGGGTACCTCTTCAGGAAATAGTCATAGAGCTGAAAGTCATCCACTTCCGGGGTAAGCTCCCCAACAAATATTGAATAATCCGGTCTTTATTTAATAAAAAGAAAAATCAATTTTATTGTTTTGAGACTAAGATACTACATAAATATACAGACACTTATCACTAGACAAGGAGACAAATGCGACAAAAAAATATTGAGAAGACTATCTTGAGGAACGCAGTGCCATCACTCCAGCATAAAGCTCTGTTTCTCTGGGTCCATTTTACTGCTTTAGCAAAGCACGCTTCAAATTTGAAGCTGGATTAAAAAAAAGACCATTTTTACTACCTGCAAGCAATAAAAATGAGGTGCAAGTCTTTCAAAATATTACCTCAAATTACAAAAATAACTCAAAAAAGCTACCAGCATATTGCACCACTGCTTCTCAGTACAAGCAGGAGATGAACTTACCACAGAAGCTGTTGTGTTGGCAGTATATTAGTATGAGCTGTATTTGGTAAATGCACCAGAAGCACCATGTCAATGTTTTAAAGGCAAGTGATGGCATTCACTGCTCACTATCAATTTAACTGGATAGGAATTGGCTCTTCCCTTTTTGAGAATACTTTACCTGGATGAAGTATTAGTGCTACTAGGAACAAACTCTATTCTTCCCGGTTTTATTTTGTTCTTTTTCTTCCGTTTTTTCTGTGGTGTTCTCCACCAGCTGTAGGCCTGCAGAGCTTCTCTCTTCGCCAATAAATCCTGCTGGGATAAAAAGAAAACACCTTTATAGTATTTAACCTCATTTACATTCCTCCCACCCACTCCCCATCACCACAGGTGATTTCCCCATATTCACCTTGCCCTTGAAAGAAGCCTGGGGTCCCATTTCTCCCTCCGCCTCCCATGAGGGAAAGCAGCCTCTGGGGAAAATGCCTGGCAAAAATAACAGAGCCAAAGGATTGCATGAACAGCCATATTCCCCTGACTTGTCAAGCTGGCTAAAGGATGGACAGCTTCTTCTTGGAATTAGGGGAAAAAAAAATAGTTAGCCCTTGATGTTGGCCAATCCTATATATTGCCTTAAGGAATGGATTGTGCACAACTTGAGCTCTAAGACTCAGAAGAAACTCTGCAGCACCTGCAGAAACAATGAAGAGGCAGAGACAAATCATCTCCTGCCTAAAGGGAATCTCGGCTGTACCTGTCTCACCTCACCTATGAATTCTCCTCCTCCTCTGTGAGATGCCTCTCTGCTACTACCTAGTGAGTCAATTCTCCCAGGCCAGGAATACTGACATGTGATGGGGGGAGTTAATGGAAGGTAAGGAGAAGGCAGACCAGGAACACACACTAGCTTGGCTGAGGGAAAACTCAAACCCAGATGCAAGGCCAGGAAGAAACAGGCAAAAAAAGTGCCTCAAAAAACACCCGAAAAGCAAAATAAATAAATAATCCCTCACACCACAGGAGTTCAAAAGAAACCAAGACATCTACAAGAAAAAAAGAACGAGCCAAGAGCAGCATTAACTTAAATTGCCTCCTTCACTTAAGATTCTGAGGAACGAAGACTTCCAGGACAGGGCTCCAAAAATAAGAACAGTAATTTTCAGGAACTTTTACTTACGCAGACTTTAATGTTCTTCTTCTAGAACACCTCTCTATATAGAGTGCGTTATGCACAAGATCCAGAGCTCATGCTCAAGTATACTCAAATAAACCAAACAGCAAAATTTGCCATTACACCCCAGCCTACTTCAGTTGATACAATTAAGAATCCAGAGGACAACGAGCAATTACCAAATTACCTGAAGAAATCCTTGGACTAGAAAAATACCCAACTCAGACCAAACTAGCTATTTCAGTTTTACATTTACTATGAACTCAGAGTGTGGTTTTGGGATCCCTTTTAGCACTGCCAACCTGAATTTCTCACCAAGTGATCTTACCTGGTTTGCCATGGTTGGAGAGTTTTCTTTCTCAAGCAAGAGAACCGTACAGGTGATTTACTATGGCCCTTCAGCTGAAAAAAATGAGGGGAAGTGCAAGAAGATAAATAGTCTTTTTACTTTGAGATTAACTGCTTTCATAGATGTTTACCCTGCCTTAAGATTTTAGAGCTATTAATCCAGAACTTCATTGCCAAAGCATCACCTCATTATGTGTAACAGCCCATTAAACAGAGGTTCTGCAGATCAAAATACTACTGGTCTGCATCATAAAGTAACCAAGCTTAGAGATTAAAAAGAATGTTTGGCCAACTGGACTAAAGGAGGCATCTTCACGTTTTAGTTTTGCATTGTGATAGCCTGCCAACTTTTCCCCATTGTTAGATGCAGTGGGAAATGAGAACACGTTTAGGTCATCCACACCTTACCATTATTACTAGAATACATATGAGAGTATAGTGGCTTAAGAGAGCTCTTCTAAATTTGAAAAACACCATGTATGTTTTATTAAACATACAGACTTCCACACACAGCATAGGACCCCTTAGTTCTTCTTGCCTTTGAGCCAAATTAAGCATCAATTTTCTTGTGCTGCAAGTTACACAGCAATACAAGTAGTGGTACTTCATACATGCTGAAAAGCAAGAGAAACAGGGAGAGAGAAGGCACAACAAGGTGAGCATGATCTTTCTCTGCATGTTTACTTACACATCTCTTCTGCCCCCTTACATACACACTTTACTTGCTAGCTCACTCAGTTAAGTTACCAGAGTGTCTTCTTAATATTATTAAAATTATGGCTATGCTTCACACCACTCCTTTACCATTTCTTTGAGATGCCTTTCTTTTTTAATCTTCAGTCACACCTGATATAAATCACTGTAGAAAGTTTCTTTAAAAGTGCTGCTTTGCATCCATTTCCACACATGTAGCTATTCACTGACTACTGATTTTTTTTCATCCAATCTTGCTGCTTCAATACAGCAGCACTGTAGAAGTTTCAATTCCCATTTCCATGCAACAAACTATTACGTAGTGGCTACTGAAGCACACATTCACTTTAAACAATAATTAAGAGTATATAATGCCTTTTCAGAATTAATGTGAAATGGCTTAAGCTAACCTGACACAAAGTAACCAAATACTAGAATGTCCATGCATGGTCTCATTCAGAACAAGACGCCTTTCACCTCCACATCCATTCTGAAGCCAAGAAGTCTTTCAAGTGAAGGAAGTCCTTAAATATACAGATAGTACTAAGCTTCACATGATTTCATAATGAGGACTGTGTTTATGATAAAGAATTATCAACAGCTTTTTTTTTTTTTATTTAAAGTAAAAATGTGACAGAAGCACCCACATAGTCATAAGCCTCTAGTTCTAACCTTAATTTTATTAAAATTTTATTAAAAGGGAATTGCAAACTCCTCCATATGTTAACATATGAATATTAATTCTTTATTTGATAGCTACAGAATACTTTGGGATTTTCCCCCTTTTTCTTCTTTCCCCACCTTCCTTTTTAAAGGAAGAAAAAAAAAAGAAAAAAAAGAAACACTTACCCCTCTTTCTTCGTGCAGACAGGAGAGGCCACACACCACACAGAGGTTCTACTGCAAAAGAAAACGAAAACTACCAGAAGGCAAGTGATGCAACAGCTCCTTGGTCAGTGATCACAGCCTCTTAAGCACAACGCTGTTTTTGTAGTCTTTCTCCCTCTGATCTCAGCTGATCTTTTCACTGAAAAAAAAAAATCAGAACCACATGTATGCATAGATTATCTCAGTTAATTATTCTAAACCTATTTAAAAAAATTCAAAAGAAAACGAAAACTACCAGAAGGCAAGTGATGCAACAGCTCCTTGGTCAGTGATCACAGCCTCTTAAGCACAACGCTGTTTTTGTAGTCTTTCTCCCTCTGATCTCAGCTGATCTTTTCACTGAAAAAAAAAAATCAGAACCACATGTATGCATAGATTATCTCAGTTAATTATTCTAAACCTATTTAAAAAAATTAAATATTTTAAATATATATATATATATTATTTAGGCTCTGCAGAGCAGCTTTAACCTCTAGAACCAAGCAGCTGCTGAGTAAGATCACACGGGCCCTTTTCTTTCACTTTATTACTCCGGTTGCAGCGGCAGCGCCGCGCGCCCTCCCGCAGGAAGGCGGAGGCGGCGCCGT